TTCTATGATACACAAGTTTAATGTCACATCGCTCGCACTGCACGTTCTGTGGGGGGGTTTCTGCCTGTGACGTCAGATGACTGATGTGTGACTGAAAACGCTGGACGTTATCTGTGCATACGCAGATCTAAATGTGACTACCCAATACGTTGAACAAATATTGACGTCCAAACAGATACTCGAGTACTCGTGCCCATCCTTCCATTCCAGTTCAAAGAAAAAAGGGTAAATACATTCTGGTTAAAGCGGAGATCTATCCAGAGGTTAGATATGAAATTTATGTGTTCGATACATTCACAGCAGCTCAGATAAATGTACAACATTTTTAATGGTTCATATGATCTCTCCTTCCCACCAAAAATAGAAGGTCAATAAGTGTCAAGTCTTCCATCAAGTTATGAAAGACTGGATGTTAAAATACCAGTAAGCACTTAAGGAACCTTGAGCATCCTTTTTCCTCCTATCTCGGGAATCATCACAACCTAAATCTGTCAGCCAGCCTCTCTGCAGACACTTGTTCTTTTTATACATCCCTAGGAGTATGCAGTTTTTTTTTTTATCCAAATATTTGTGAATAAAACCTTCCTTCTACCAGGGACTAATCATGTAAATTCGGCTGGTTTCACCTGCTGTATGCTTAATATTTTTGCTGTTTCAAGCAGTAGGAACGGGGCTTCCAGACAGGCGCATTACATCCAATATTTTAGCAGCTTGGAAGTCTTGAATTAAAAGTGACAAAAACCAAACACAAAAGGAAACATGCAGCGATAGCAATGATTGTGTGACATTAATGACTAAAAATGGCTGCATCAAAGACAGATTAGGGAATGCCTGTTCTAGTTTGCTGTCTGCTGTGCTGACAAGCTGACTGCGGCCAATTTCAGTCAAATCACTAATGAAACTCAGTCATAATAGGTGTGGATCTTGAAAGTAAATGTCCACATACTGTAGAAATAACAAGAAATATAAACCAGCGCACTCATACCGAGCTCTTGTCTATCTGTCACTCTTCCCCTCCTCTCGGTCTCCTCTTCATTACCTTTCATTCACCTTCCTTTGTCTTTCTGCACAGAGCTCTTTATTCTCTGGAGAACATCTATTCATTTGGTGGTTGGGGTGAGTACACTGTGGTTAGTGAGCCGTCTGAATTAAGGAGGCTGGCTTTAATCCTTGTTTCACAGTGGAAACAGACGGTTTCTCTGTGATAGCATAATCATGGAAAGAGCTCTCAGGATTACCAAATGAACAGAGGAGGTTCAGAGGATCAGCAGACTAAAGTGCAGGCAGTAACATGCTAGTTTGTCCCGGTCACATGGGAACTCCTGTAGAGCGTATTAGGGACTTGGGTCAGTTACTGTGTGCGGCTAAATGTGTGCCATGTTTGACACACGCTAGTGCTGAGGATCTAGGGATTGCAGTGATGGTCGGTGGGTTCTTTCAGCTGAAGTATCTCAACAGTTGTTGGATGGATTGCCATAAAACTTCGCACACACTCTCATGGTCCCCCGAGGATGAAAAGTTCCACTAGCATCAACAGTTTTCCACCTGTCCAGTGAAATATCTCAGTATTTATCAGATGGAGGGGCAATAAAATGTTCTACTTTCACAGTTCCCATATGATGTATCCCTTATCACTTCACTATGAGGTTGACATTTGTGGTTTTTACTGAAATGTCTCAACAACTATTGGACAGACTGCAATGAAATGTGGTACAGACATTTAATGATGAATTATAATCACCTCCAAAATCTTGGTTTATGACCAAATACATGGAATACTAATCACATTTCTACCAACCTCAGCTGTACTTTAGTGATAATTAGCATATGCTAGCAATACTAAACTAAAGATTTAACATTGTAAACATTATCTACTAAACATCTGCATGTTAGCANNTTAGCATTCAGCTCAAAGCACTGTTTGTATTGACTTTGTACTTACTTTGGGTTGAAAATACCAGAAGAAAGTATATGACACCCCTTGCTTTCAAATGTTCCTAAATGTTTTACTGTGGAGGATGGAGGACACAGTCAACATT